CCAAGGCCCCCCGCAAACAGCTACCAGTACAGCCCACCCCAACAACCGTGCTAACGGCGGGTTCTCACTCCCGCCGGATTTACAAAGAAGCGGGCCACTTCCGCTTCCGCTTCCGCCCGGAAGGGACAATCATAGAGCGCCTTGGAGGACTAACCATAGAGAATAAGGGCGGAGGGAGAGTGATCGTGACGTCACCTCACCGCCTTGCAGAAAGCCGCCGCTTTCCCTTCAGCTAAGATGGCGGCGGCGCGCATGCGTAGAGCTCCCCCCCCCCCGGCTATACAGGGGGCGGGGCTTGCTGCTTTCCCGCGTCGCCTGAGGGGTCCTGGTACCCAGCCCTCCCCTCCCCCTCCGGGGGGGCCCCTGATTCCTGCTAAACTCTTCACCTCGCAGGCGTTAATGCCCCCCCCCCTCTTCATTTTCATGGCTTTGCAGTCCCACCCATCAAGCCGCCCCTTGTCCTGCAGTGCGCAAGCTGCTCCTGGTTGCGAAGTTTCTATTTTGTAGCCCTGCAGATTTGTTTTTCGCTCGTTCCAGTGAAGCGCCGTTTGTTTTTGATTTCGTCTTCCAACTGAAGCATCCAGCGCTAGGCCCTCAGCCCGTTAGCAAAGCTTCTCGTTTATTTTTCCCGGAGCAAAGGCTGCAAAGATGCAAATATCCGACGTCCAGAGTGCAAAAATGAGGAAAACTTGGCAGGAGATGATCAGTAAAGCTCCTCCATAAAGCTTCCAGTTATACAAGAGGGCTATTGGTTTGAGAATTGCTAGAAATATCGCAAACATCACACCGCTCGAGACATCTTGTCAGCATGGGTCTGTCCGTGACAAATGGCCTCAGCATCTGCACCCGGCTCTTATCAAAATCCTAGACCACCCCTTCTTGCAGGGGGGTCATTCAGACAAGCAAGGTTTTGTGGGTAGATCCGACATCTTTTCTTAAAACAATTCAAATAGTTGGAAAATGTCTTCTTTGCAAGCTTTCAGGTATCAATACCCTTCATCATTCAGAGAGGCACGAGCTGTCATAGGCTGCAGCCTGCTACATCCGATGGTACGGGTGCGTTTGCAGAGAGCCGGGCACAAATGTACCATTAGCAGCATACCACGTTTTGCATGGGATTTTTTTTATTTTGGTGGGGGAACAGGGATTAAGACGGTCTCAGCTTTGGAGAGAGAGTGACTTGAACAAAAAATAGCAGGAATACAGAGGGTTTGGTGGGAGGGGAAAACTATCTGCTGAAATTAGGTTCCCAACCTCCACTCCGATGGGGTTTAGGAGCTAGATTATGAAGAGGATTCACAGGCAATGTGAAATGGAGCCTGTCTGGAAAAGGGAGTGCAAGTTCATTGCAGGTTTATGCTAGATCCTGCCTGCTGCTCGTCCTTTGTGATACTACAATCCTTTACTTTCCAACTCTTGCTGCATGAGTATCCTGTACAGATGAGGGAAGAATTATTGATAATATGCAATTGCCACCAGATCCGCAAAGCAAGTAAATAGAATCATCTTTTTTTCCTCTGGAAATTCAATGCTAGCACCCTGAAGTATACCAATACAATGGGGAAAATTATCAGGAAGAAGTGACTGCTCTGTTGATGCGACACTGGCTCCTTAAGGACAAAATTGCGTCCCAGAATCCTAGTCAGTCGTCATTATATTCGCATCGTGATGCTGTCGTGATGCTTCAGTACATAGGAGCTGTTCATATATTGATTGATAGCTTCTCTCTGTCGTGTGCAGATGCACAGTATGCCGTTGCAGATGTGTTGTTTGACTGCTCACACCAGGACACATCGCTGAACAACAGGGCATGAACCAGCAAGTGGCATGGGTAGCAACAGGAGTCATCAGTCAGAATAGGAAATGAAGGGGGGAAAAGTGGACATGGAAACGGTTTCTATGGTAACAAAAGAGCAGTGATTGGGAAGAAAGCCTCAGGAAAGACATTAAGGTGAAATTACATCATTTTATTGGAGAAAGAAGCCTGCAATTTTGTTTGAGCAATTTGAAATAAACTGTTTCCTAGTACCTGGCATAGGGCCAAATCTACTTGTGAATCATGAAATCCAGATCACAGCCTGCAACAGCAAGAACTATTCATATTTGTAACACCTGAACTTGCTTGCTACCATTAGGCTATTAAATATTGTTCTGGGGTTTTTTTCTCTTTCTGGATTGAAGTGTAATAGTATTGATACCCTCTTTGGGGTGAGTATATTTGGCACTTTAATACCAAGGCAAAAGCAACTTCGAAATGCTCACAGTAAATAAAGAATTTACTACATTCAATTCACTTGATTTATGAAACTGTCTTTACTTTGTGCCTGACTGCTTCACATCTGTTGGGGCTACCTTAAAAAAATCCAAAATAGATCATTTTATAGGTTAGATGGACTACAAGTTTGATCCAGCATTGGTAGCTTCCATGGTCTTTTATTGGCAAAGGAGATGCACAACCACAATCCCCAAGCTGTCAATTCTTCCCTCTCCTCCCTCAAATGCTCAGGTACTGAAAATTTATTTTGCTATATTCAGTCTTCAGTCACTGACTATCTACATACAGCCCAGCATCTTGGAGTTAAATTGAAAATTAAAATCAAGCACTGTATCTATCACAGACCTGACCTCCGGGTTTTCCAGTGATATACACATTTTTTTTCCTCTAGCCCTTTTGAGTGCACAAAAGTGTAAGACTCAGAACTGCATCACCCAGATGCAAGGATATCATTTGGTTATACCTCATCATTTACCAGATTTCTTCATTAAGGCACGCTGCCACAAGAGACAGACTCAGCAAAATGAAGAACGCTAATTAATTAATAATGGCAAAAAATTACATCCAGCACTCTAAGATGTAGCATAAACAGAATACATCATGGTGTGATGCAGCAGAAAGGTTTCATTAAGGTCCAGCTGGAAATGTCAATCGCACCCATAAACCAGAGGACACGCAGATATTTGAAAAGCTATAATAACCTGGTAGCAAACAGCACTGAATTAGCATGAATTGTATGCATGGATAGGCAGCAAATGCATATGAAGGCACCTTCTTCATGCCCAGTAACTTCACAGCATTTTTTGTGTTTAAGCAGTTGTTCCTGTTCCTTTTTTTATACCATCCATTTTGATCTCCAGAGGAGTTAAGAAGCTGCAGCTGTCTTAGTCCTTTCTGGCCAGAACAAAACAAAAGGAGGCAGATGCCAAAACCAGGACTTAAGTGGATATTAGGCACCCAATCCCTTCTCCTCTCAGTGGCCAATTAATCCTACAAGTATCTAAAACTCATTCTTTCACCTCCCTGTTTGGCCTGGAAATGCCCTAGCTACCTAGATCTAATCACTTATTCTGCCACAAAATGCTGGTATGACCTCAGGCAAGTCACTTAGCTTCTTTCTATCTCAGTTCCTTACCAGCAGTGGGAATAATAGCACTCCACTACTACACACAAGGTGGTATAAGGAGAAATACATTATAGATGGTGAGGCACCTTCAACTCTCCTATGAAATAGGAACTTTCATTTCTACGCAGGAGAACTTTCGCAATCTTTTCTCCTATGCCTGGTGAAGGGTGTGGGTGCCTGAAAGCTTGCAATTAAGGAATTTTTCTTTGCAAAAATCTAGTTGATCTAATAAAAGAGATCACCTCCTGATTGCTTATAGATGGTGAGGCACTCAGATTACCAAGGGCCATATGAATTCTTTCAAACAAATAATTTCATAGATTTCATAGACGTTAGGGCTGGAAGGGACCTCGGAAGATCATCGAGTCCAGCCCCCTGCCCCAGGGGCAGGAAGTCAGCTGGGGTCACAGGATCCCAGCAAGATAATGCAAGAGCCATGACTTCAGAACATAAATTGGCCCCTAAAATTATAAGCACACTTGCCAAAGAGTTTCCCTCAAGTCCAGGCTTTGTTTTAAAAGAGAAAAAATGATAGAGGCATTTAAAAATATTAATCTGAATGGAAATGTCTAGGATTTTTTTTTAAATGAACCCACTAACAGAAAGCAAATGTATTCAGTTTTGAGTGCCCCTCAGTACTGAAAACCTGATTCTGCTGCTTTGTCCAGGTGCAGGACAAACAGTGACACTATTCAGTTTTCAGTGTCTAAGTTAAGTAAGGTGCAAATACTGAATAAATACAGAATAGGAAAAGTGAGCAATGGAGAAAAATAACATTATGTGGCAAGGCAAAGGAATCTGCATTGAAATTCGTGGGCTTGGTGGTGACCCTCCCTTCAGGATAACTTAAAGCAACAACTAAACTCTACTGGAGTCAAGTGGCTGAAAGAACAGGAGACACCACACAAAACAGAGGCCAAATGCAAAGCCAGCCAAGAGCTGAGCTATACAGACCAGAGGTTTCATTGGGGGCCAAACACAAATGCAGAGATATTGTTTGAGGAAATTCTATGTTTGAGAAGGAAGAAACCACAAAAATAGATAGAGAAGACATGAGAAAGCCAAGGACAGCCAGAGATGCACTCACAGTTTGACTGCTAGAAAGCTGAGAGAGAAGAGAGATCTTTGAGTAGCGTGCTGCCTGGAAAAAGAAGCACGAAACATGGATTAATACTGGCTCCTGCTCTTTGATCCCTCCAGTGTCCGGTGAGACAGGGCTTTGTAGATGTTCTTTGTAAATAAGCAGGCTTACATTGAAAAACATCTGACTTCATTATCAATGTCTCCTTCTAATGGAAACAAATTGCAAGACCCCAGATATTGGCTAATTGCTCAGGTATAAATAATAAATAAAGTCTAGTAGTACCCACAATATGCCAGGCGCTTGCCAAATTGGGTAGCGTGACTTGTCTCAGCTATACCATAAATAGATGTTAAGGAACATGTATGTTATTATAGTAACAAAGGGGTATATGAACTTGATGATCTGTTGAGGTCCCTTCCGATCCTAGCATCTATGAAACT